ATCCTTCAATTAAAAAGGAAGAGAGAGAGCGAGAAGCTCCCACACTGTGGAAGAGTGCCTTATTACTGTTATGCTCGCCTAAAAATGGCATCGGCGGAATCTAAAAAAGGCTGTGCTTGGGAGATTCTACCTGACAAATTGATGGGAGGTGTTTCATAAAAGTTAACCCAGGTTTGTTCCAAACTGTCAAGCAGTTTCCCTAAGTGGCTCACCGAATTCTAGAATCCACTGCACCTGCTAAAACTGAGCATTAACAGAAAGAAAATAGAATTATATTTGATTATGGAATATAGTTGTTTCAGAATGAAACTTTAAGAAAACACACAGCTATTTCTTGAACACCGGAGAAAATCACAACAGACTTGCAAGCATTTGAATTTTGCCCTTATTAAATTAGTAGTGAACAAGCAAAAGTTTCACTTTTATTTTCATATGTCTGGTTGGAGCCTTATAATAACGAATCTGTAAGCAGCAGAGTGAAGAATAAAAAATCGTGATTTTTTTTTTTTTGCCATTTACGGATTTTTTCAAACCCCATTCCTTTTTAATTAGCTGTCTTGACTTTGAGTAATTAAATTGTTTAATTCTTATTAATCCAATTTTCTACATCTGTATATGGGGATATTATAAATTTCATGGGCTAATTTTGGGAATTAACGTGCTATCATAGTTATCTTTAACTGACAACTTGACATGGTCTGGAATCACCAGAGAAGAGGGCGTCGGCTGAGGGATTGCCCTGACTGGAGTGGCCCATGGGCCTGTCTTGGGAGTGCGTGTTTTGATTCTGAAATGATGTGCAAGGCCTCAGCCCACTGTGAGTGGCACCATTCCCTAGGTAGGTAGTCGTGGGCTGTAGGAGAAAGCAAGACAAGCATGAACCTGGATGAGCTCCCTGCCGTACTTCCTGCTTCAAGATCCTGCTGGAGCACCCCACGTCCTCATTGATGGGCCCTGGTGGGGAAGCAGAAACCAAACTCCTGTTCCCCTAAGTTACTTAGACTGACCATTTTTATCATAGCAACAGAAATGAAATGAAATCAAGTGCCTAGCAAATAGTTATGAATTATAGCCAGCCTTGTTACTGTTAGTAGGTGGGTAGGAAATCAAAACTTCTTTCTACCCATGAACAAAAGATTGTGTTCACCTGTGTACCTGCATGTCCATTATAACACCTCAGGTTTCCAGCACCCTCTGTGCGTGGGAACAATAGCCGTGTGTATGGAAGATCAATACCCAAGCAATTTCTCTGCCACATTGATAAAGGAATGCATTTGTACAATTATATGATCTTCCAATAATGCCGGTTGCCTTGGTAGGAGTCCGTGTAAGTCTTCGGAAACAAGTGCAGCCTTCGACTGCTGCTTACATGATTGCAGACGCGCTTGTTGGCGGATGTTTTGGTTAGTTTTAACTGTCAACTTGGCATAATCTTCATCTCCCGTGAAAAGAATCACATTGAGGAACTGTGCAGATTGTCTTGGCCTGTGGGCATGTCTGTGGGGGATTTTCTTAACTGGGTTAATTGATGTGAGAAGACCTGCCATGAAGGTGGGTGACTCTATTTATGTGCCAAGCCCCGGACTGAATGAAAAGGGGAGAGGGAGCTGCATCCAGCAAGTGTCATGCATTCGTTCTCCTGCTGGTTTTCACTTGTGTACGACTAAATGTGTCAAGTCCTCTTTGACTTCCCTGCAAGATAAATCAGAGGGCAAAACGAAGTGAAGGGGGATCATGGGTGAAAGCCCAGGTTTTGGGTTGGTACACGTGGGTAGGGTCAATTGGGAGGAGTGTGACATTTAAGAAAAAGCATAAGAGGATGAGCGACGGGGGCATGGTTAAGAGGCCAACGTGGGCACGCTGGGTTTCCGACTGGATAGAGACATGAAGGTTGTAACAGGGACCTGGGAGGACTCGTTTCCACTGGTAAGATGATGGGATCTGGATTCACCTATAAAAGGAGCCACAGGACCCATGTGGACTTCTGTAGGTCATGTGGCCTCTGGGCATGACGGTTAGAAAATATCTAGACTGCGTTAATTGAAATGGGAAGAATCTGCCTACTTGGGGATGGCATTCTCCCATGGGCTGGCATCCCAGACTAAGAGAAACAGAGCTTAGTGTGACCATTCATTACCACCTGACTCAGGTTCCCACGGCCATGGCTCTGTTAGCTGCCATGAAGAAGTTTGCCCTTGAACTGGGACCCAGAATAAAGCTTCTTCCCACGTGTTGCTGTCATGGGTGTCGTGTGCGGTAAGGACAGGAGTAACTAACGAAGTGTGCCAGGACTCTCAGCTGGGCAGGCGGTTAACACATCCTCATCATCACTGCTCAAACCCCTGAGGATTATATTCTCAGATCAGTTTACCAACAGGGTTCTGGTAATTAGGCAAGTCTGAGAAACAGAACTCAACATCACTTGAAAGGGTTTCTCTCCTAGCATGAGATGAAGTCTCTAGCAGCAAATTTCACAAGATACAATTTTATAAACTAAAGTTTGAACACTAACAAGAGGCATGCCATTTTGTTAGGCGTTCCATAGGAAATGAATGAAATCCTCGTTGGTTTCTGTTGTTTGTACCCGGTGGGACTGTTGGGCAGGTAATCAAATAACATTAAGTCCAGGTTAAATGACGTAAGGGCCATGAAGAGGGCACTGAAAAGATCATGTGGCCGAGAGCAGTGGAAGTATGAAATTCAAGGCAGGGCAGCATGGCTTCACAGATGCCTGTGGCAAACCTGTAAGGATGTGTTAGGTTTCTACAGGAAAAGGCAGGAAGGAAAGGGAAAGGGGTGTGAACCTCTGCTTGAAGAATTCAGTAAGATCCCAGAACAAGACAGACATGTTACTTCAGAGATTCCCCACATAGTGTGGCTCTACAGTAAGCCATAAAAATGAAAATACTATTGGGTGGTGGTGAAACACTCTTTTAATCCCAGCAGTCGGGAGCAGTGAGGTCAAGATCAGCATGATCTACAAAACAAGATCCAGGACAGCCAGGGCTACACAGAGAAACCAAAAAGAGAAAAAAAAAGGAAAAGAAAAGAAAATGAAGATACAACACAAAGTGACAAGTGGCGTATAGCTGAGTTCAGCCATAATCCAGGAGTCTTCTGACTACCAGACTGCAAGATACGAAGAAGCGGTGTTTGTTCTTCAGGTGGATAAGGGAAGTGCAGGACCTTTGAAAATATATAGAGGCAGAATGGTTGGGGAAACAGGATTATGCCTCTCCACATACCTAACAACAGAAATGAAACAATAGCAAATTCGGGTCAAGGGAAGAAGAGGCCTGAGAAGAAGTCCTTGGAACAGCTCTTAGAAGATTGATTTTAATTGTGTGTGTGTGTGTGTGTGTGTGTGTGTGTGTGTGTCTGTCTGTCTGTCTGTCTGCCTTTGAGTGAATCTGCCTTTGAGCAAATGTTCCTTTAAAGGCTAGAGGAGGGAGCCAGACGCTCTGGAGCTGGACTTACAGGTGGTGGTGAGCTGCCCAACACTGGGGCCAAGAAATGCATTGGGCCCCGTATAAGAGTAGAACATGATCTTTCCCACGGAGCAGTCTCTACAGCCATATTAATGTTTGCTCCACCAGGAAAGTGCAGAAAATTCTACTGTAATTAAACACATTAGATTATTATAAAAATGTTAGCAAAATATTCCTTATCTTGCTCATTGCATGTATTTAAAATCCACTTGGCAAATACACAGAATATAACAAGCAAAAGTCCTGGAAACGAGGAAAGGGTTTCTCTAGAAAAGCAAGGAGCACAGGGCAAGAAAAGTTTGAGTGACAACTACCAGCTGGGAGGAAGGAAGTATTCTATGCGAACCGGGTTAGCAGCCATCCAATCAGAAGGAATCAGCTGCATTTCTCTGACTCTGTGAACTAGTCAGCTTTCTCTGTGGAGTTGGAAGTGTGAGAAGATTTTTGGCTGCTTAATATGGTATTCTATAGATGCTGATTATTTATATTAAGAAAGTTGTAACCATATAGGAGTAGTTTTAATGGCAGAGAAAAGTCGCTTGCTCTGATTACCAGAACTCTCTCCATTACCTCAAATGTAGCTATTGCGTTTGTTAAAAGTTTAACTTTAAGAGGAGATAGAATAATTCACGGTAAACGTGAGACGGTTTAATAAATCTACAAGGTTTGTGTTTTGTTTTCTTCCATCTGTTTGTGCTTGCCGGGGCCATTTCAGTTTTCAGGAACCGTTATTTAAAGTAGTTTCTATATTATTAATACATTTTGATATTTGCCACAAAGACGGACATGGTTTGCTATTCTGTTCCTCCTGCCAGAGCTCAACAAGAGTTCTATGTCTAACAAATCTTAAAGATAATCCCAATAACTGAATAAATACATCAGTTTCCTAAAAAGCCTATTAAGATGTCTTTATGATGATGCTTTGTTTTCCTGTTGTTTAACTGGATAGCTGAAGCCTCTAACCAGCACAAGGACACATACATCATGAAAGAATACAGTGCTGCTTAAGTATAAATGTATGCACGTTTAATACATGCATTGTTTAAATCTCCATGTTGAAATATTTATAAACACCAGCCTAAGGAATCCGGGTTCCGAGTGACTTCTTTTCAAATAAACTTCTTAACTAAAGAGCACTTGAAACACGCTGTGTACATGAACTTCCCACCTCTTCACTCCTCCAAGGAAGAGCCAATGGCCGCTGGAAACAGAAAGTCATTAAAGACAATGTCACTCTCAAAGCCCCATTCTCCCCGAGTCCCCTCTCCCAGTGCACACTAAACAATGGCGTGCAGTACACAAGAGCTATCAAGAGGGAGCACTTTTGAGCCACCAAAACTGCATGTCAACCTAGTAAGCTCACTCTCCCCAACTACAGGGACACTATCCCAGGTATTTTATGTGCTAAAATGATCATTAAAAATTAAGTACCACATATAAGCTGCCATTTAGAATATTAATTTACTTTTGCTAATCATGTTTTTAACTTCAGGCTAAAAGAGTTCGGTCACCATTCGGATACTCAGGCTTAGTCCAGGAGACCTTAAAGGAGTCTGGGGGATAGGAGTGGACTCTGGGGCCTGGCACACCTTCTGGAACCCTCTCTTTTATTAGGGCCTGGCTGGGCTCACTCATTGCACAGTACACACACACACACACACACGTGCGCGCGCGCACACACACACACACACACACACACACACCTGTGCATGCCTAAGCCGGGACAGAGGAAAGCGCTTCGGTCCTGAGCCTCAGATTTGGAAGAAGAGTGAAGGGAGATAAGACAGAGGAGGAGTTCTAGATCCCACTAAAATAGTATTCCCCCATTCCCCACAAATAAATAGGCCAGTTTCTGGTGCTGAAGTATAACATTTAATTAGATTACTTTTTAGGACCTGAGAATTTATTTCCAGTAAGTCCAAAATAACCAGGGTACTACATGAAAAACCTGTCTAAGTTACAGCCTAGAGATGCAGGGTGCATATTGACTGGGCGAGCGGCTTTGCTGTCGAGAGTTAGCACTATGCAGAGGGAAACACACTTGTGTCCGCGCACGCGCGCACAACGCTCACACACACACACACACACACACACACACACACACCCCTCTGGGGTAGAGAATAAGATGGACTCACGGCATCCACTTACTCACTCCAGTATAACCTGCCTGTGCTCATTTCAATACCATGAGACATCAAATAAAGCAACATTTCTAAGCCAATCAATATTTTAAAAAAATCTAAGCTTAATAGCTTAGTGGGCTGAATGGGTTACTTCATGTCAAAAGATGTGGATCCCCTTAAAACAGGGATGAGGAACTCAAAGCGATCCCTAAAATAGCATCTAACTCCAGAAACAGAACACAGGCATTCAGGACATTGGATTTTCTCAGAAAGAACTGATAATGATTTCCAAGTTACTGAGAAATTGAGACATACACACAGGGCTATTGTCTCATTATCAAATACAAACAATTGTGATTTTATGAAACAATGAGAGGAAAAAACCGTAGTTAAGTTTCCCTCAGTACTAACCTTCTACCTCTCAACGGCAACAGAGACAACAAAGTTAAAAAATTGTTCATAAGTGAGATTCAGCCCTGGTTAAGTCTGAAACAAGACAAAATGTGAAAACATGGCAATGCAGAATCAGAGCGCTTGTTAGTGCATTTTCACGGAGGCTAAAACTGCGAACCCCATTGTTTTTATTGATATCTCCTGGCCTGTGCAGCTTTGTCAGCTATCCGCTATGGCTTAAGGCTCTGGGGAGTCTGTCTCCTCAGGACAGAAGAGAGGGGAGGACTGGTCAGATTTATCCTCACATTGGAGCCTGGAACTGTTTCCTGTGTTGTTAAACCTGGCCACAGAGTTTCCATTATGACAATAAACAAAAATGGATAGCCGAAAACTTATAGTGAGGTTAGCTTCCTGATATAAGAACACTTTAGTAGGTGTTGGGAAGACAGTAAAGTATACAAGGATGCACTCTCAATCTCAGGAACCTGCAGGGGACAGCTAGGTGTGGCAGCTCAAGCTTGTAATCCCAGTGCGGCGGAAGTAGAGATGAGGGGATCCCCGAGGTTTGCTGATCGGCCAGGCCAGCCTAATTGAGAAACACACACCAGTGGAAGAGCCCATGTCAAAACCAACTAGGTGACCCTAGGCACATAGCTTAACGAGTAAAGCAGCTGTGTTACTGCATAAGAACCTGAGTATGGGTCCCCAGACAAGCATGGCAAAGTTCTCCTGTATCCCAGATGCTGGGGTCAGAGGTAGAGATGGCTTACTGGGACTCAATGGCCAGCCAGCATGAGAAAATGTAAACTGCAGGTTCAGCCAGAGACCCTGTCTCAAAAAATAAGGTGGAAAGGACACACATCCCTACCACATGCACACACAAAGGGGTTGGGATGGAGATAAATAAGTAAACAAATAACAGGTGTGTGTACACATACACACAGAGAGAGACAAGGAGACATGGACAGAAACAGATAGAGAGAGAGAGAGAGAGAACAGAAATAGCCTGTGTCTTCAGAGTAATTTCTCATGAACTTAAGGATGCTCCAGATGGGTGCCATCACCACCCACGGACACAACTGCATTAGGCATGGGCCTAACTAGACTCTCTGGGTTTTTCTCAATTTTTGGATGTAGACCATGCATATCCATGTCAAAGAAAAGCTGTCCTCTCGAGGATGGAGCTTTAACCGACCAAGCAGAAACAGTTAGCCATGTGGTCAACCCCTGATGTATGGCTTCAGGACATGCCACCACTGACTGACCCAAAAACCAGCTATGGGAACATTTAAAAAGAAATGGAAAACACATGCATGTAACCTACACACTAAGAGTCTCAGAGAATATCCAGGCAGCAGGGCCGTGTGAGATATCCGAGCTATCAAAGCCAACGCTGGCAGAAAAAGAACTCCTCATTTCTCAAAGAGAGGGGATGTATGTATTTTCTCGACCTTAGATTCAGAGCATGTGGCGGCATATTCTTGTGAAACTGATCACACAACAGGATTTAATTCTGATTGTTGTGAATTTCTTTTTCATTTATATTCATGTTACCGCATTCCCTCACTACCCTTCTCCAAAGAAATACTGGATTAGACAACACACTGCGCATTTATTTCAATAGAACATAAACTAACATCTACTTTGTTTTGAGAATTTTATGATGATTTCCAAAATAAATGTAATATCCTCTTTGGGGGCTTTTTCCTGGACTGTGTCATCTGAAATCTGCAAACTGATAGCCTGACAAAGAAGCACCTTGGGAATTCAGGAGATTATCTTTCTGGCCAATGAGTCGGGGTGTAAAGAATTGTTGAAACAACAGAAATATCTGCAACTTTATCTCAGTTTTGGCATTGAGAGGATTCTTCTCAAACTCAAATCTGATTGGTCTAATGCCGATTGCAATTCTGGCTTAGGAAAATAAATAAATAACTGGATTGATTGGAGTTGTCCTCATAAAGCAGAAAGGACCCTGAAAGCCTACGAGGTAGCTAAGTGAACAACTTTGACCTGTTTCCTACGGCTTTTAGTCAATCACAAACACATGAAAACAAAATTCACAACGGTGTGTTGCCAGTGCCAATAGATTGGTAATTTCCGATCTAAAGAGGCCTTGTTTGATTTGGTAAAATGTATGTGTAATCGCTAGCCAGGCGAACAGGAGCTGGGGTGGCAGGAACACAGCCTGCAGCTCCTACAACATATCCCTACTAATCCTTTCCTGAGAAGTTAAGTTTGATGCTTCAAGAAATAGCTCATCTGGTAAAATGCCCACTGTGCAAGCAAGAGGACCCGAGTTCAGGTCTCCAGTACGCATGTATAAAGATGACTTGGTGTTGTGCTATGCAACCCTAGTTCTTTGGGGAGGGGACCAGAGGATACCTGGAGCTTGCTGCCCGACAGCAAGTGACTATCAGTGAGCTCTGAGCACATTGACAGAAAAGACTCTATTTCCAAAGGAAGAGTCAAGAATGAGAGGAGACAGATGACCTTGACCATTGGCTTCCACATGCATGAATACATGCCCACTACCACTCAGTACACAAACACAGTCACATACATATGACGGACACACACACACAACTTGGGCTCACCATTTCAACACTCCTCACCAGTACACAGTCACGGTCACATACATATGATTCTCTCTCTCTCTTTTTCTCTCTCTCTCTCTCACACACATAACTTGGGCTCACCATTTCCATTCTTTAACCCTCACCCAGTGACAGATGGTTAGTACTGTTAGGAACATGTTGTAGCGCTAAATCTGACCCTTGCGTCTTTATGCATTTGTTAACTTACTGCTTTTCTCAGGAACCATTAAGACCTAACAGACTTCAAAATGAATACCATGTTGTACTACACGCCAAGAGCCTGGGCTGTGGAAGCATGCATCTCCAACACTGACTTTCCAGAAAATACTATGCAATATTATTTCAGGTCTCAGACTCTTTGTGACTCGGTGGCCATTCACTCATTCCTGCATGAACTGTCTTCACAGACCCTTGACTCCAGCAAGTACTTTCAGCGTTCTGCACAGAGCATTTGGGAAGATGTGACTTCTCTGTTTGCAAAAACTAAATGAATGACCCAGAGTGGCTCTACTGCCTCATGCTTCCGTTTCAGAGGCTGCTCAGGGCCTGGCTGTCTGCATGCTTCGGTTCTGAGCACTTAGCCAATATGCTAGGACAATCCATAAAGGCCACTCTACTTTGTTGAACACCTGCTCTCCACTACTTATCTAATGACCTTGAGAGCTGGTTATTATATTGAAACTGTACAATATACAATAATCCCTCAATTAACCAGGATAAACCTAAAATGCCATGGTTCATTTAATTTACTGCTTAATGAAGTTAAAAAAAAAAAACAAGCAACAACAACAAAAAAAACCTTTTAGTTAAATATTTCCTGAAAAAACATTAGGATATTTCCCACACTGATAAATAAATTGGGATTAAAAGGAACATGAGCAAGTTTGTCTCCTTAATAACCTTTTGGGCACGAGGACATCCATGTCATTATGACCTCTGACACCAGCATTACTCAAGACCTGACACATAGTGTAATTATTTGGGGTTACCTTTTTAGCATCACAGAATTTTAGGACTCTCAAAAAGACATTAAAAACATTAAGTTCAATGTCCTAATTTTAGTCCTGAAAAAAATGTAAGTTGAGCCGGGCGATGGTGGCGCAGGCCTTTAATCCCAGCACTCGGGAGGCAGACGCAGATGGATCTCTGTGAGTTCGAGACCAGCCTGGTCTACAGAGCTAGTTCCAGAACAGGCTCCAAAGCCACAGAGAAACCCTATCTCAAAAAAAAAAGCACACAAAAAATGTAAGTTGATGTGCCTTAGTTCACTTGTCTTGGGTTACACAGTAGTAAAATCTGAATTTAAACTCAAGGGAACAGACCACAAAGTTAGTTGTACTTAGATTTCAAGTTATAACAAAATTATAAAGTATGGGATATTGAAATGGATTTTGAATGACTGCACAGTACATCCTAAAAAATTGCCTTAGGAACAGAACATTTTTATGCCACTTACCTCCTGATGAAACCCAGCATTTCAGCAATTTCTCCTTAATCTTGGTTGCTCCCAAGCAATCGAGCCTGTTCATGGTTTTCATGTGTACAGCTATTTTGGAAACAGTGTGGACTTCACTATTAGCTTTTGAAAATCGACTTCGGACACTGTTTGGCTTTTTAGTGACATACCTATGTGTAACCTGAATTGTCAGGTCCCACATCCACATGCTGTGCTGAAGGCAGAGGCACACGGGCCATTCCGAGCAGGGCTTCACATTGTTTGTTGCCCTTGCTCTGCACTGTCAAGGCAGACACGTAACAGCAGTTGGATGCAGTTTATTTTCTCATGGTATAATATTTTGAGCATTCACGAGCATGTTAAGTAAAATGAATGCGTACACAGTGTCTACATAAATGTAAATTTATTCATAATCAAGAGCAGAATATTTTCTATGGCATTTATCAAAGCAAATACCCTCATATAGGTATTGCTATAAAATGAAGAGGGTGTTTAAAACAAATAGGGACAACCTCATGTTTATATTCAGTTATTTTCAGATGTGCTATTAAACTTAAAAAAAGATTATATTTCATCAAAAAGCAAAAGGAAATAGGAGTACAAATTCCACAGCAATGTCAAGGTCTTTTAAAAGACCTTCATCTACAGACGTGCCAGTTAGCATTAAAAATACCACCATCTTCCCAAGGAAAGCTCTAAACTGTTGACTCTCGGCTTTCACCAAGTGACTGTTCTTCTGAGACAGAAGTTTAATATAAATCACAGTATAATAACAATCAAGAATATCTTGGGGTCATTTGAATCTTCATTTAAAAATACAAGATCTAAATTCATACTGTGAGGAGTTTTCCAAATGAATACAAGCACCACAGGCAACCATCTTATTAATCTAAGTATTTTGGGGAAAAGCTCTCTACAATTAGAATGTCCTACAAATAATAAAAAAAAATTAGTACTGAGCATCTCAACATAGATGCAGGAAAATTCACTAACTCAGGTTATGTTATCCTTCAAGTAACACAAACTAAATATGCAGGCAATCAACCAAAAGACTTCATCTTTAGGTTATGGGGGGAATTTTTAGTATAAATACTAAAGGATGAGGCTTTTTTGGTATTTCATTTGTTTGATTTGGAAAGGAGGGGATATGGGAAGGAGAGAAATGGCAGAAACTAAGCTGACTTACTCCCAGCTTGACGAGGTATAGACACCCAGGAGAAAGATGCCGGAGCGTGTGAGCTTGGAGGTTTTTGGTGCTGTTGTGGACAATATTTCACACTGTGGAGGTATGTATAGGATTCAAAGTATATAATCTACAGTGCTCCCTAATTCCACTTAGTTCCCTTGGTTGTCTCCACCTGGGAATCAGTGAAAAATAAAGCGTTTTACTCATTTGTGATGTAGAGGATTAAGAGTCAAACAAACTTTAATTTACCCTGCTGCAAAAAAACCTACATATAACGCTCAAAAGCGATTGCCTTTTAAAAACATATACACAGTTATAAAATACCTATTCTCAGGGTCTTTAGGGGAAATGTGACATAGCCCTTGCCTTCTAGTTACTTATTCTTTCTCCCTTCCTTCCTCCCTCCCCCCTCCCTTCCTTCCCCCTCCCTCCCTCCCCCCCTCTGTCTCTGTGTGTGTGTGTGACGTTGAACCTGAAGCTAGAGTGGCTGAGCAGCAAGCAATATACACCTTCCTGCCTCTCATCGGCGCTGGGGTTAGAGTCGTTTATGACTACACCAAGTTTTTTATGTGGGTTCTGGGATCTGAGCTTAGGTCTTCATGGCTGTACATACAATAATTGTTCTTACTGAGCCATCTCCCCAACCCCTAGTTACTTGTAATTTACAATAGTTAACAATATGTAAACATGCATGATTTCTTTTAATCTTGAGTTTAGGATATCAGACAAAGATGGGGTGGCAGACAGTGTCTGAGTACTTCTGAGGGTGTGAGAAGGAGGGTGGTGTACCAGTGCTGGAGACCCCAGCAACCCAACACAGAATGAGCAAGTAGTCACGGAATATAGAGAGTGGAAACCTGTAAGGGCTAAAGCGATGGGCAAGGGCTTTTCGGCAGTGTGAGGTTGTACCTCCAGATCAGGGAGGCTGGACAGGTAGAACCAAGAATGATGGACACTTCAAATGAGGTAAGGAGGTCTCGTTTCAGAACAGACAGAAGACAACTCAGCCGAGAAATACTCAGGGAAGTGGATACTCTTTAGAATAAATAACGCAGCTTGTCTTAAGGCGACCGAGGGCCAGCCCGAGAACTTAGGATTAGAGCAGCGACAGCAACAGCATGAATGGTGATGCTCTTCAGCTTGAACGAATGCCACAATTTATTCAATGTCAACATTTCATTCACAGATGAGAAAACTGGGAGTAAGAAAAAAATGAACAAGCATGAATTGGTGCTAAGAGAACTCTATTAAATTTTAACTCAGCTTCTTAGACCTCATATAATGAGAAATAAACAAAAGTTACTAAGATCAGAAAAAAAATTGAACATATTTATAAGTTATATTCTTCTCTGGCTTGAACTACAGGGGAATGAAACTCATGCTCTCATAGAGGAACTGGGTTTGCTTCCTGGAACCCACATGGAGGCTCACAATCCTGGGTAACTCTACTTTGGGGGATCTGATGCTCTTATGGACTCCTTGGGCATCCAGCATATATGGCACACACACACACATTTGTGCATGTGTACACACACAGGCAAACACTCATACATTTAAATATAATACATTTTTAAAAAGAAGATGTGTGTATACACACACACACACACACACACACACACACATTATTCTAGTCATTGCAAATGATTGCAAAATGCCCTCCACCTATAACGAACTTCCCAGTGGATAAGTAGGTGGTCATTTTTCTCTAACTGACAACTAGAGAAAAGTTTCATCCACATTTAGCTTGGAGTGATTGCCTAGAGACAAAATGGAAATTAAGTTGACAAGTGATAATCAGAGGTTCCTAGAACCTTTGGTCTAATCATTTCTATGCATTTAATCACAATACAATTAGCTGGATGTCACAAGCCCCTCTGAACGAGCACGTCAGGATTCTTATGTGAGCCAGAACCAGCATGTGCAAGACACAAGAGCTCTGCTTACTGGATGTGCAGAGTTCTAGAACCAAGGGCAGTGAAAGTAGGGGGATCCACTTGTTCTGGGGGTAGCTGCGCTGTCTGCAGGATGGCATGGGAACTGTGTGTGAGATGTAGGAAGCTTTTATTGGTTAATGAACACAGAATCTGCATGGACCTGTGATAGAGTAGAGCTAGGAGGGGAAAACTAAACTGAATGCAGGGAGAAACAAGGCAGAGTCAAGGGACACCATGGAGCTGCCAGAGCAGAAAGACACAAGCCGCCAGCTGAAACCTGGCTGGTAGGCCATGAGCCTCATGGTAAAATATAAAATAATAGAAATGGGTTAATTTAAGAGATAAGAGTGAGCTAGAAATAAGCATAAGCTAATAGGCCAAGTAGTGTTGTAATTAACGCAGTTTCTGTGTGATTATTTCAGGAAGCCAGAAGTGAACAAGCGGCTTCATACTACATTTGTGCACCCCACAAGTGTGCATGTGTCAAGGACAGTCTCGTGAGCTGTGAGGATGCCTAAATCTGGGGAAGGAGAGAAACCAGAATTATCCTCCCTAGTATATTCTCAGGAGAGCTCACTTCCTTTCCACATTCTGACCTTTAGGAATTGTTAAAATAAAGCTTCACATTAGACTCACTAATTATGGATGGGCAGTAGTGGTGCATGCTTTCAAACCCTGCACTTGGGGGGCAGAGGCAGGCCGATTTCTGTGAGATTGAGGCCAGCTTGATCTATAGAGTGAGTTCCAGGACAGGTTCCAAAGCTACAGACAAACCCTGTCTTTGAAAACCATAATTATAATGATATAAAAATCATTAATTATAAAAATCAGTAGAAATAAAATATATTCATTTCTCTCTTAAATGACTTGGCTGCATTGAAATGGATCCTTGTCAGTCACAATCTCCATCTAACTTTCTCATTTTATAATTTGTTTTCTTGAATGACTATGATCTGGCAACTCATTTTCAGGGTTTAGTCTTAGTTCAAAGACTCTGTTAAAAATAAATGAGATATTTAAATTATTTTGAAGACAACAGGAGTTGTTTTTGAAATGCAAATTCGTTGCCTGTAACAATGACTTTGAAACTCCCTTCTCCTGTCACCTAGTCAACTACTATTTGACCTTCAGATCATCCAAGCTGTATGTGGGTATGTTTTACCTGGAAGATGTCCCAGACACTTCCCAGGATCCCCTTGGACAGGCAGCAGCTGTTATCTGCTCGTCTGACGCCCATAGCACTTTGTGCAAACTCCCAGCATGACACTCACAACCCTGCAGCCGTATTAGTGTCTAATACCATGCCTGACATACTAGAGATTCTGAATATAAATAACTGAATCAATGAACACAGAATGAATGAAGGAGATGACAATACAGTTGAGCTAGGTATGAAAAGCAACCATGTGGTACCCTGGCCAATAAAATCATCTCTCCTTCTCATGAATTTCCATGGTACTTCACATCTGTTGACTTTCTTAGTGAATATCAATCATATCCCTAATGAGAAAACTAAATCTATAATTCTTCAATTCCATTCTTAAATGCCCTGAATTCTTCACATATAAAGCACCCAGTTATCTAACTAAATTTTGACCAAGTTTACCAAACTTTAGATCTAATTTGTACTTTCACAATATTAAAAATAGTGATTCTGAGAAACATCTTTGAAACATATCATGATTTAAGTAACACATATCCTTAAATCTTATTAACCTTGAACCATCATAATTTCATGTTTAAAAGATTAATGAAATGCAGCCTAATTCAGGAAAATAGCTTTTGCATTATACTGATAGCAAAAGTAAACTAGGAAAGGCATGCTGATTTTCATGCAAAATACAATCAATTGGCTAAACATGTAGGTCACCGGAAGAAAGGCAATCTAGTCATTTTTATAGCAAGAGTTGCGTTAGAACAAAGGAAGTCACCAGGATGACACTTGCCTGATTTGACCAAACCTCATTTCGTACAGCTTCTGTATGATAATATCTAATGGCGCTGTGCTGACTTGAGACACCCTCATCTAACGTCATAAGAGGAACACAGAAAGAATACACTGGAGGTGATGGACCAACTTGGGATGGTACGACTCTGAGAGATGGCCACAGCAACCTCGTCAAATGTGCATGAGTAAGGACTGGAGAGCCCCCATTTGGGCAAACATCATATCAAACCTATGTCCTAGTCAGGGATGCTATTCCTGGGATGAAACACTATGACTTTGGTACTGGAGGCAGAAAGGGTTTATTTGACTTATACTTCCACATCCCTGTCCACCATTAAAGGAAGTCTAGCCAGCACAACTTACAAAACAGCATCATGAGAGTGGGTGAAACCACGAGTGATGGGTTACTAGGAGTTATAACCATAGCTGTGTATTTTACCCTGATTTTGTGTGTGTGTGTGTGTGTGTGTGTGTGTGTGTGTGTGTGCGCACACGTGCATGCACGTGCATATGAGTGTGTGGGTAGGAGGGCCTATGAGTGTGTGGGTGGGCAGGTACACACTCATATGAGCTTGTGGAGGCCAGATGCCAATTCCAGGCATCATCCTCAATTGCTAGCTCTATTTTATTCTATTTTATTTTTAGCAGGGACCTCTGGCTGACCTGTCCCCCAGTTAATTGTTGCATTTAGGTGTTTCGGTACAGCCAGAAGAAAAGTACATGATCCATGTGATGTGAGACCAGATCACTTAAGGAACAAAGCCTGGCTGAAGGGCCACTCTGCCAGACCAGACTTACGACAACGCAGTCCAGCACCCCTCCCTGTTCTCTTCCTTTGCTGCCCCTGATTGCCAAGGACTTGATGAACTTTCTCCTTCTCGTCTCTTCCCAGGTTTGAATCCCTTCCATTCTCTGGGAAGGAAAGCTAGGGGTTTCATTTGATGTCATATCAGGAGCAATAGCAAGGATGGCCCAGAGCTTATAGGAACTCTCACGGTGGCCAGAAGTCATGGTCCCTGTGCATAAATCTGAGCGATTCTTGACTATATCTTAGTCATGACAGAACATCATGGTTAGCTGCAGCCGAGACTGGGTACTGTCATATTCTCCCCTCAGTAATGGCTGGAGTTCCCTTTCCTATAAGCATTCAGATTGCTCAGGCAGGGACTTGGCTATCTAGTTTGCAGTGGAGTAAGAAATCACCCCATTCAAGGATGACAGCATCTCAAAGATGCGGCCTTCACACCCGGGACTTTGTTATCTCAGCTAGTGTCTCAGAAAATCATGTTATATCGGTACCATGGGTCCCCCAGCATGCAAAATGCTCCATTCTCCTATATATTATAAGTCTATGCCTTCAACAGGATTTTGAGGCCTAATTACTAACCTCCCCCCCAGGACTGTTTGCCACAGATAGGAACAGTTTCCTGTAGCAATGACACAGGGCTTCTTCCTGCACTTGGATTCTGCTGTGATACGTTGTCTTCTTTGGGTTGAGGAGCATCCACTGCTATGGTTGTTAGGACCCGAGATCAGGATGAGGAAGTGACTACACTTTGCAGGGTCCCATGTGGTGCAGTGGGTGTGACTCTTAGCCTGCGGAGGCTAGGCAGAGACACCATAACCACTGCAACTTCATAAAATAAAACATTAAATTGATTTTTTTTTTTTTTAGAGTTACAGAGGTTTAGTCCATTACCGTCATGGAGGGAAGCATGGCAGCATGCAGGCAGACATGGTGCTGGAGAAGGAGCTGAGAGTTCTACACCCAGATCTGCAGGCAGCAGGAAGAGCAAGCCACTGGGCCTGGCTTGAACTTTTCAAACTTCAAAGCCCACCCTAAATAACACACTTCCTCCAACAAGGCCACATCTCCTAAACCTCCAAACTAGTGCCACTCCCCGGTGACCAGGCATTCAAATCGATGAGCCTATGTGGCCATTCAACTCAACCACCACAACTCTTGAATCATCAGGACTGAAGCATCAGAACCCAGCTGCATCAAATCCTCCAGTCACAGGTTCAGTTCCCCTCAACTACTCTGCCTTGTAAGTAATTTGTTTTGTTTGTGGATGTTCAGGGCATTGTATATTAGAGCAGAATGGATTTTAATGTTCATCAGGGCTTAAGAGTGTTAATACTGCCAGGTGTGATAGCTCAGACCATAGTCCCAGGACTTGGGAGACTGAGACAAGAAGACTGTGTGAGTTTAAAGCTAGCCTGGGCTACATGGTTAGACCTTGTCTCAAAATTAAAATAAATCATATATATATATATATATATATATATATATATATATATCCCTGAATAAACAATATTAGTGCTAAATAATATATAAAGTTATATAAAATTTGACATAGTAGTAAGAGTTAGACAGGAGTTAATGGCCATCTCTTCGAGGTGACATTTTGAACAGAGACCTGAGGCCAGTAGGTAAGGAAGTTGTAGGGATTCTGGTGAGGGCACACTGCGGGAAGGGTACAGCCAGAACCAAGGCCTTCACCCATGAGGGAATAAGTGAGAGGAGTTAAAGAGAGTGACCCTCCTAGGATTTTGTTATCAAGGAAAATAGAGAATTGAGACAAGAAATAGTCAGTAGGAAGGGGTAGGTGAGAGCCGGGAAATGGTAAAGAATGAAAACCAAGAGTTTGTGGTTATCTACAGCTTTGCTTCCTACCAAAGGTGAAGGAACTGCTTGGGAGAGTTGAGTAGAGGGGACAGAAACAAGCAATCACAGAAACAGGAAAGGGACTATGTGGGTGGGGCACTGTTAGAGACGTGGGGTGTCATTTGGAATGTGGGGTCTGAGAGCTATATCATCAGCTAAGAATTCACTTTGGATTCTTTGGAAACAGCAGCAATGACAAAAATACCCCCTAAACACACACATAGTCCTGAATTGTCCTCTCAATGCTCTTAAAATGAAATCGAACACTGGCCTGTCAGGTAGTGACTGACTTAACATTTCTCTTCCTCACACTCCCGTTCACCCACACCCCAGATGAAGCTCTGCTCCCCTCATATTACAAACCCACACTTGGAGGTCTTTGAAGGGGTTGTTCTCTCTCTTTGATGTCCATTTCTGCCTTTGTTGTTGAGTGGCCTTGGCTTATCCTCTAGGTTCATCCTCCTTTGAGTAGGAGTCAAATTATGTCGTCATCCATCCCAACCTTAGATCCCACTCAAGAGAATGGAAACCTTTTGAGTACAAAGAGATATTTTCTATCATGCCAACCATATTATCTAATGCTTGGAGTAATGCCTAATGAAAATACTTTTCATTTGCTGAATAATGAATGGGCAAGACCAGAGAAAGACCTCAGTACCCCCTACATGGGGTACTGTGCCCCCAGATGAAATGCCATTATCATTTTTAGAAACATATTAATGTCTACAAATCTCAAAAAGTCTAACACAACTGCCAAATCAATAAAGGCCTATAATTATAAGTGAAAGGAAATTTGCGTTTAAAAATAATAAGGTAAAGCTGTTCCTAACCGAGCATCAAACCCAACCGCCAAGCACTAATGCTTCAAAATAAACAAACAGTCGATCAATCAAACAAACAAAAA